TTTTAGTTTTTGTTCCTACTTGTTGAGGTGTTGGCAATATTTTTTAAGAGACTGCTACAAATATGAGTACACATGAGTGATTTGCACTAGTAGGAGTATCCTTGTTTTATCCTAAAAATAAGTCTCATCTAGTTATACTAAAAGTAGTTAACACTTCTTCTTTTAGTAAGAAAAAAAAGGAGTGCTTGAGTCATACTTTCAAGAAAAAACCATGATAGCCCTATTTGAGAAAATCTTTTATGTTTTAATCCTATTTATAGAATTTTCTGATTTTTTTCCTCCCTTTTTTTTAATTTGATCACTTCTCTTTCTGACTTTTAATGAACAGGTATGAATCAGCTATTTGTTCATGTAAATGAAGGGGACAAAGTTGCCCTGGATCTGTACAGGAAGGTTGGCTTTGAGGTTGTTAAGGCTGCTTCATCTCGAGTGTCAAATGAACATATGCTGTTAATGTCCATGGAATTGTGACCCCCCCCCCCCCCCCCTCAATAGTACACGAATTCTAGGTAGTTTGTGTTTGGCCTCTTATGATTTTCTTTTTTTAAGTAGAATTCTGAGGCCGCATAAGGTTTTTAGTGTCTATAGGGCCTGAAAAGCAAAGTTGTATATCTGTAAACAGTTTCAAAGGGTAGTAGCTGTAAGAGAAGGTCAAGCCATTAAGTGCTCACTCTGGCCAATATGAATCTTTTTTATTTGTTACTCATGGCTAATTTGAATCGAAGACCACACGTTTGGGCCCGTCATTATTACCCCCACCTTTCCATTTACACGGGTTTGGTGAATGATTTGCAAACATTCGTGTTCTCTCTCTGTCTCTTGTACTTTTTAATGAATCTAGAAACACTTCTTGTGTCAAACTCCATCAATCATTAGTCTCACATATTTTTATGGAGTAAAGGGTCAGTTTGGTCCTCGAAGTTGCAAAAAAGGCGTCAAATAAGTCCTTATATAGAAGATTCTGTCTGGACGTGCCATTTGAGGTGGCTCCTGGTGGAATTTTGTGATAAATTTTTTTGAGCATCTTATTCATTAAGTCTAGTTTACTCATACCAAATTTCAGCTAAAAATTCAATCGGGAAGACATTCAAATGAATTCTTGAAGATAACAGCGCTTTTAACGGCACAGTTATCTTCAAGAATTCATTTGAATGTCTTCCCGATTGAATTTTAATCTGAAATTTAGTATGACTAAACTAGACTTAATGAATAAGATGCTCAAAAAATTTCATCAAAAAATTCTACCGGGAGCCACCTCAAATGGCACGCCCGGACATAATCTTCTATATAAGGACTTATTTGACACCTTTTTTGCAACTTCGAGGACCAAACTGACCCTTATCCCTATTTTTATGTAATTATTTCATATTGAAAGTCTGTTGATGGGAGTAATACAAGAATTTGGATTCGAAAATGTGAGAAATATTTCAATCTTTTTAAGGTTCCTGACAATCAAATATTGGGTTTCGCATGAACCCTGGGTTAGTAGCTATGTGACTAATAGGAATGACATTTCTTGGAGTGAATTTTGTGTTGATGTATGTGCAGTGCAAGGTTCAAAAATGAAAAGCTGGGTAATGTAGTGGAACCGTTCAGCATACTGATAGGGAACTCACCCGTACAGAACAATTACAGTAGGCAAGAAACAAACTCAAGCAACAGAAATTCTCATTAATGGAGGAAAACCGTACAAGAGTCCCAATGAGCCGAAGCCCCCCACTCAGCCGAAGCCCCCCAAAAGAAAGAGACAGTTCTCGATCTTCCCAAAGTCCCAAAGTCAAAGTCTAAAACAGCCTACCTAACTCTCCCCAGCTATCTTCTCTTTATACTAGACAATACACTTCTTATTATTAATACTCCAATAGGCCCGGTCCCTTATTTTTATTATTATTAGTCTATTAGGCCCAGGTTCCTATCAATACTTCCCCCCTAAACATCCACCTTGCCCTCAAGGTGGGTGATAGGACACAGCCACAATCTTCTTCTTTTCTTTCATCCTAGCACCTCTCCCTTTCCAATACTGGATGGATTTCTGGATCTTTAACTGGGCTGCTTCCACCTTCTTCCCTATGTTTTTCATAGCAGAATAACACAAACGCCAGGACATTCTATCCAGAATTGACTTGAAAACTTCAGGGTACTCCTTTATAAATTCATTCCTTCTGCCTTCAGTTAACTGTTCTTGCTTCAGCTCATTAGTGTGTCCCTCCCAGTGCCACAGATGTCCATCACCTTGAATAATATGATTCAGCCCTTGTTTCTTCCATTTTATGATCAGGTTTTTGAAATTAGCTTCCATATCACCTAAATCAGTCAACCATTCCATGCCCAGGACTACATCAGTGCCTCCCAATTCCATTAAGTAATAAGTCTGCTGAATCTCAACCCCTTGCACATTCAGGCTCACTCCTGCACACTTACCATAGTTGGTTATGCATTCTCCATTTCCAGTTTGTACTTTGTATTCCTGAATTGGATTGTAAGGGATCTTCCATCTTTCCACCAAGTCTTGTGAGATAAAATTGTGGGATGCACCACTATCCATAAGTACATTCACTGTTAGTTCTCCATCAGGCCACCTCATTACTCCTTTTACCTTAAATGTCTTCATAGATGGTATGCCCTCCTCACCTAATACTGAAAGTTGTATGGTCTTCAATTCTAGAGGTATGGTCTTATCTTTTCCTGACTCCAGTGATTCAACTTCAGAACCAGCTTCATCCACAGAATTCTCCACTAGGATCATTTTATAGTTCCTCATCTTGCAAACATGTCCCTTACCCCAATTTTCTCCGCATTTAAAACAGAGTCCCTTCTTGCTTCTATCTAATAGTTCTGCTTGGGACAATCTGGGGCTATTCCTTATCATGTTCTGCTCTTGCACATCAGAATTTATCTTGTTATCAACTGTAGCCTTGTCCAAACTAATAGAGTTAACAAGTGGATTCTTCCATTTATTTTCATCCTCCCAATTATGATGCTGACTCTTACCATGCCATTTTTTCTTCCTTTCATCTTTGTTCTTCATGATACAAACTTCAGTGTTCTTGTTCTCAATTAAAGAAGCCACGTCCATAACTTCAGCCAAAGTTCTTGTAGAGTATAGCTTCAACTCAGCTCTTACATCACGCTTAAGGCCCTTAAGAAACGCTCCTTTCAACACTTCTTCAGTTAAGTGTCCCTGTGTCGCAATTGCAGTCTCAAATTTGTCTCGATATTCCTCTATGGTGTTTTTCTGCTTCAAACTGAATAAAGGCCCCAGGGGATCCTTGACCATGTCTGGCTGGAAGCGTCTGGTCAATGCTTGAGTAAAAGAGTCCCAATTTTGATGCCTAGCCTGCCTCTCCCACCATTGAAACCAGCTGAGAGCTTGGTCTTCCATTGCGAGCACTGCTACATCAATTTTCTCCTCTTCTTCCGTGTTATTCAATCGGAAGTAACGATTTATCCTTAGCAACCATCCGCTAGCATCGCTTCCATTGAAGATAGGCAACTCGATCTTCCTTCCTGTGTGACGGTGATGTGGATGACTCCGGTGAGGTCCGCGATTATGCTGCGATGCAGACTGACTAGACGGACTGTCCGATCCGTCAGAACTGCCTCCGCTATTGGAACTCCGATGATGCTTGGAACGATGCGATGTACTGGATCGATGCGAGTGACTTCTCGATCGATCTGAAAATTTCTTCTGAAAATCCGCAAAGTTGGCTTGCATCGTCGCTCGCATCGTAGCTTCCATCGATGCTTGTACTGCAGCCAAACTCTCCGCCATGTTTGCCGCCATACTATTCTGCAATTCTCGCATCCGCCTGTCCATATGATCTTGCATTTCCCTTTGATTTCTTCCAAAATCAACCATATTCCTCTCAACTTCGTTAATTCTTCCTTCCATTTTGGCGCGCGTGTATCTCATCCAGCGATCGATGCTCTGATACCAATGATAGGGAACTCACCCGTACAGAACAATTACAGTAGGCAAGAAACAAACTCAAGCAACAGAAATTCTCATTAATGGAGGAAAACCGTACAAGAGTCCCAATGAGCCGAAGCCCCCCACTGAGCCGAAGCCCCCCAAAAGAAAGAGACAGTTCTCGATCTTCCCAAAGTCCCAAAGTCAAAGTCTAAAACAGCCTACCTAACTCTCCCCAGCTATCTTCTCTTTATACTAGACAATACACTTCTTATTATTAATACTCCAATAGGCCCGGTCCCTTATTTTTATTATTATTAGTCTATTAGGCCCAGGTTCCTATCACATACTAACTTAGAAAGATTAAATTGGGGTATATTTTGATGACTTTGTAACTGTGAAATCCCTATTGTTACAGCAAAATCATACTCTTTTGAGAAATTCTTTTTAAAAAGTTTTAATGGGGGGCAGAAAGTCACAATTAAGCCCTTAGTAAGAGCATTCAACCCAATAAAACTGAAGCAGTAGAATTTACTAGATTGCAGGAGGAAAAATCTAGCTGTCAGCACTTCTAATCCAGTCAAAATTAACCAAACTCTAAACAATTTCCAAAACATTCCAGTTTTTATAACCCAAAAATCACATCTCTAACTTCACAATCTTTCACCAAGAATCCAAAATATATGTCATCTAGTGAGAGGGCTGAAAGAGAGTTGAGGGAGTCTATTATTACTGCAATGAGAAGTATGAGGTTGGCCATAAATGTAAAATGAAAGGGACTGAGTTGTTCTTAGTGAAACTAGTTGGTTTAGAAGAAGATGAAGTGAAAGAATTGAAGCAGTGAGATTTTCATGTTTAAGAAGTGAAATCAACATATAAATACATTGAATCTCAGTTGGGAGATCTATATGTGTTAATGCTCTTTGTGGCAATCAAAATTTAAGGACTATGAAAATTTTGGGCAGTGGAGGAAGGAAGAAATTGCATATATTGGTGGATTAAGAGAGTACACATAATTTCTTGGACGTAAATATTGCAAAGAAGTTGGGATATGAGTTACAAAAGATTCAATCTCATACAGTAACAATACCTGATGGATATCACTTGTCCTGCCAATATATCTGCAAAAATGTTGGTGTTAGTGGTATAAGTAATATTAGAATTATAAACCTAGTGAAATTCTTGAAGATCATAAGACTGTTTTTGAAGAACCAACAGAATTACCACCTAGTGGGTGTTTGGATCTGATTCTTAAACTTGCTTCTGCTCCTTCAGAGAGCAGAAGCAGAAGCTGGAGTGTTTGGGTGAAAGTGCAGAAGTGATTCTAGAGCTCTAATTTACTCCTAGAATCAGTTTTTTAGAAGTTGGGGGAGACCAGCTTCTGAAATCTAATTCTCATTCTGTTTCTGATTTAAAAAAAAACAAGCAGGAGCAGAATCAATTCCAAACACCCCTAGTAGGGGAGGGTTTGATCACATAATTCCACTTGAACATGGTGCTTCATCAGTATATATTAGATCATATGGTTATTCTATCAAAGAACGAGATATCATAGAACAATTGGTACAACAAAAAGTTTGAAAGAAAAGATGAAAATTAGGTGCCCGTTTGGTAGCCATGATTTTTGAAATTTCGGGCTTATAAGCCAACCTTTTCACCAAACAAGTAACTTTGGGTGGTTTTACAGACTGAATTGTATAATGATAAGAAAAAGTAAGGTTGAAGTTGCTTTTCTGGCTGTATTGGCTGAAGTTACTGTTGATGGAGTATATGGCCCAGGAACCCCCGGCCCATAGACTCCTACTTCTCCTACAGAAGCCCATTGAGCCCTGGGAACATCCCAGGCCCAAATGCAGCGGCCCGAGCGTCGAAGAAGCCCAGAATACAAACTGGGGTGCCTTCGGCCTCCTTGGCCGAAGGCTCCAAAACTCACAGGATAGCCTTTTTGGGCATACAAGGCTACTAGGAGAAAAACGGCGGAAAACAGGAGCCTTCGGCATCATCAAGCCCTCAGCATCAGAGGAGCCTCCGGCTGAACCAAGCCTCCGGTCACGCAGGGCCCTCGGCTACACAGGGGTCCCCGGTCACATGGAGCCCTCGGCTACGCAAGGAGCCTTCGGCAAAAAATGCTCAATCATCGAAGGTTCCCTTTATTTGGAGATAGCCAACCACCGCATTTAATGCAACGTCACATCCGCCAACCGCATTCAATGCGGTGAACGTACCACTGCCGGTGCCACCCGATTGATGTGATCCCTCGGCCGTTGGATTACTTACACGTGTACTCTCATCGCATTTATTGCTGCTATAAATAGCAGCCCATTTCTCATTGTGAACGATCCCAGATCTCACATCTCGAGTTCATTTTAATAAATCGACTCTCTCTCCTCCTACTTTGCTCTGACTTCTCTCTAGTTATTCCCGCAATAACCCCTCGGATAAGATACCCCCCGGGTAGACTGTCCATCATTTGGTGCTCTCGTTGAGAGGTCTGAACAATCAAGTAAGAAACCCTCCCCCTCTACCAAACTCAAAACACCAACCAAAAATGGGAAAAACTCGTGCCCAATCCAAAACCCTTGAGGAGAACCACGTAGCCCCCGGCAAAACCAACGGGGCTGAGGCCTCCAACAGGCTCTTGGTACCCGAGGGTGGTATCATCCTCGAATTAGAGCAAGCCACCGCTGACATACGTCAGCAGCTGCAGAAAAACGCCCCTGATGCCCGCATTGGCCTTTATAATCGAAGGAGGGATCGGAGTGAGAACCAAGTTCCCCCTCCGGCCCCGGCCATCGATCTTCAGGCTGCCTTTGCGGCCTTTGTTCAAAACATGGCTCTTAATTCCGGAGCCCTCGTTTCTCAAGCACCCCTTCAGCCCTATGCTGGAGGAAATGTTATCCAACTGCCGCCACTCCCTCCTTTGTTCAACAATCCTCCCCCGGGGATTGGCAACGCCGAGGGGGTCATGGCGCAGGATACCGCCTCCCAAGAGGCCCAATCCAGGGATAAGCGCCCCATGATGAAGGAGAAACCCCGAACCTCTGCACTTGAGAGGCTGGGGGGAGCTCCCGGGCGCCGAGGGGTCCAAGACCGCCTCGGCAAGCAGGAATTCAGCAGGCCCCAGGAGAGTGGAGCCTCCGCTTCGGGAGCCGAGGGCGTGCCTCCCCCCCGAAGCAAAGGCAAAGCCCTCCTCCATGCTGATGACGCCAGGCACCAGATCAATCAGGCCCAATCCTTCCGGGCCAACTCCCAAGGGGTTGCCCCGAAGGACCCCAAGGACGAAATCATCGAAGCCCTCCTCCGTCAACTTGAGGAGAATCGTCAGGCACCCCCGACGGCTTCCACAGCAAGGCCAGATCTGGAGTACGCTGACCTCCGGGCACAAGTGGAAGAAATGAAGCGTAAACTTGCCGAAGGCTCAGGTGAGCCCCTCATCCAGCTCCGCACTAGGACGCCTTTCACCCCAAGGGTGCTGGCGGCCAAGATCCCCAACAAATACCGGGGGCAACCCATCAAACCATATGAGGGGAAGACGGATCCCCAAGAACACTACAGCAGGCCAGGTATCAAAACAGTATGATGATGATGGGGGCGTCGGATGAATACTTATGCCGTTGGTTCCTTTCCACCTTGGAGGGGCCGGCGTACGAGTGGTTCAACCGATTGCCCGAAGGCAGCATAGATTCTTGGCAGGAGCTTGCCCACCGTTTCCTTACACAATTCGCCGGGAGGCACCGCTCAAAGAAACACTTCTCCCACCTTCTGAACGTGAGGCAACAGAAGGATGAAACCCTTCGGAATTTCTTGGAGCGCTGGAGACAGGCCTCCCTCGAGGTCGAAGGCGCCGATGATAGGACACTGATGGCCCTCTTCCACACCGTCCTCCGCAACAGTAACTTTTCTAGAAGCCTCATCACTGACCTCCCCCCCCCCCCCGCGCGATTATACAAAAGCCCTTCAGCGAGGGGACCGATATGCCGAGGCGGAAGAAATCGAGAAGGATCGCCGGAACACGGATCCTTCTCAGAAGAATGAAGGCAGGAATCGGACCGGAGGGCCTCCCCCTCCGGCAACCCGAGAAGCGCAGTACAACGATCGCCCCCGAGGTGGCCAAGCCAGACCCGGAGGCGGTTACAAAAACAATCCGAAGGCATGGGCGCAACCCGTCCTCCTTGAGCATCCACGCACTCCCCTAACACATCCCGTCAGCGTCATCTTAGATTACGCGGAAGAGCGAGGGCTCGTGGAGCGTGACTCCCGCACACCCCTCGAGATTTATGCCATCAGCCCTAATGAGCCTTACTACCGCTTTCACCGCCACCATGGACATAGGACCGATGACTGCCATCAGCTGAAGACAGCCATTGAAAGGCTGATACAGGCGGGCCATTTGTCCCAATTTGTCAGGGGTCCCCCTCCCCAGGGCCCCCCTCATCACCAAGGGCCTCCGCCGAAGGCGAATAAGTGGGTAAACCCCAACACCATCCCCTTGGGAAACCCACAGGGGAAGAAGCGTGAAATTGGGGGCCTCGATGACGAGGGAGAGGGCTCCCATCAACAATACAAACGCCACATTCACATGATTAATGGTGGCAACACTGGTGGAGACTCCACTAGCCAACGAAAGAAATGGGCCCAATCCCTCTACGTTGAGGAGGTCAACCACATGCCCCCAGCTAAAAGGCCGAGGGGGAGCCCATCTTCTTCACAGATGCGGACCTCCCCTCGGGCTTTCTGCCTCATAGGGATGCCCTCGTCATTCGCACGGAGATCAATGACGCCATCATCCTCCGGACTTACGTTGACACGGGGAGTTCTGTCAACGTCATGTACCTTAGCACTTTCCAAGAGTTGGGACTCGACAGGGGATCCCTTCGGCACATCAACACCCCCCTCTCCGGATTCACAGGGGACAGCATAGACGCCGAGGGCGTCATAACCCTCATGGTTGAATTCGGCGACGGATCCCATAGGGCCAAGCTCGAAGTGGAATTCGTCGTCGTCAACCTCGACTGCGCGCACAACATCATCCTCGGTCGGCCTGCCCTCGAAGACTTGGAAGCCGTCATCTCCATGAGGCATCTCTGCCTCAAATTCCCCACGCCTACTGGCATCGGTTACTCGAGGGGGAATCAGAAGCTCTCCAGGGCCTGCTACCTTCAACTTACCAAGAAGGTTAGTAAAACTGAATTTCGTGTTGACACCATCACCACCAAGGCCTTGGAGGAAGAAGAAGGTAGGCCGAGGGCTGAGCCTGCCGAGGAAACCGAAGACTTGATACTCGATCCGGCCAAGCCGGAAAGAGTCCCGAAGATTGGAGCCAAGCTCCCTGAAGACCTGAAGGCTGGCATCACCAAAGCCCTCCGCGCCTACTCCATTGTTTTTGCATGGGAGCCGGAGGATATGCCAGGAATTGACCGAAGGATCATCACCCATCGCCTGGCGGTGGACCCTTCGGCCAAACCGGTACAGCAGCGGAGAAGACCCCTCTCGGCCGAGAGAAGGGAATTCGTGAAGAAGGAGGTGGCCATGCTCCACTCTATCAAACACATTAAGGAGGTGAAATACCCTTCTTGGTTGGCAAATGTAGTCCTCGCACAGAAGCCCCCTACATTCCGCATGTGCGTGGACTACACAGATCTGAATAAGGCATGTCCTATGGACCCCTTCCCCCTGCCAAACATTGATCAACTGGTAGATGAGACCGCGGGATGCGAAATCATGTCATTCCTCGACGCATTCCGCGGGTATCATCAAATCTATATGCATGAGGGAGACACTGAAAAAACTGCCTTCATGACACCCGAAGGCATCTTCTGTTATCTCGTGATGGCCTTCGGCCTCAAGAATTCAGGCGCCACCTACACCCGAATGGTGGCCAGGGTCTTTCAAGCTGTCTTGGGGCGCACCATGGAGGCCTACGTTGACGATATGATCGTCAAAAGCAAGTAGGCAAGCACTCACGCCGAGGACGTTCGGGAAATCTTCGCCATCTTGCAAAAATTCAATCTCCGGCTAAATCTGAAGAAATGCACCTTCGGCGTACAAGGAGGGAAATTCTTAGGATACATGGTCAGCCGAAGGGGTATTGAGGCCAACCCCGAGAAAATTCAGGCCATCATCAACATGGAGCCTCCACGCAACGTCAAGGAAGTTCAACGGTTGACGGGTCGCCTGGCAGCCCTCAACCGTTTCCTCTCCAAGTCAGCCGAGAGGGCCCTCCCCTTCTTCCAAATCATGAGGAAGACAGCGGGCTTCCAATGGACATCTGAATGCCAGGAAGCCTTTGACGAACTTAAAAGGTACCTCTCTTCCCCCCCGGTACTCTCCAAACCAAAGGTGGGGGAAACCTTGTACTTGTACCTTGGTGTTAGCCCGACGGCCATCAGCTCAGTGCTCATCCGGGAGGAGGATGGCATCCAGCATGCCATCTTCTACGTCAGCAAAACCCTCCGGGAGGCCGAACTCAGGTATTCTCCCGTCGAGAAGACGGTGCTAGCCATCGTTTGGACCGTCAAGAAGCTTGGCCACTACTTTCAAGCTCATCCGGTCCAAGTGCTCACACATCAACCCCTCGGCGCCCTCATGAGGAGCCCCACAAGTTCTTCCCGAATGGTGAAATGGGCCATCTTCCTTAGCCAATACAACATAGACATTCGGCCGAGGCTTGCCGTCAAGGGCCAAGCCCTGGCAGACTTCGTTACGGAATGCACGGTGAGATCAGCAATGGACGAAAAGCCCTCGGCACCTCTTGATGAATGGTGGACACTCTACACCGATGGCTCCTCGGCCGCCAAAGCATGCGGAGGGGGAGTAGTTCTTATCACACCCGAAGGCTTCCGCGCCTATTATGCCATTCGCTTCTCTTTCAAAGTCTCCAACAACGAAGCCGAATACGAAGCCCTCCTCTGTGGCCTTCGGCTGGCAGCCAATCTGAAGGCTAAGATGATCCACGTCAAGTGTGACTCCAAACTCGTCGTGGGTCAAATTTCCGGGGAGTACGAAGCCAAGGAAGGGAGGATGAAACAATACAAGGAGGCTGCCAAGGAATTGCTTAAGGTGTTTGAGGCACACTCTTTGACTCAAATACCGAGGGCTCAAAACTCCGAGGCCGACATCCTATCCAAGCTTTCGGATGAGTCCCCCGAACATCTTTCAAAAATTGCCAGGATTGAAGAACTCAGCCTCTCAAGCATCCACGCGAGCCCCGTCATGAATATTCACCTAAGGCCGGAGGACTGGATCTCCGACATCATCAACTTCATCACCACGGGACAACTCCCCGAGGATGAAGCCCGCGCCAAGTTAGCAAAGCTGAGGGCTCCTAGCTACACCCTCGAGAATGGTAGGCTCTATAAGAGATCCTACAACGGCACCCTCCTTCGATGCCTTCATTAGGATGAAGCCGAAGTCGCAATGGAGGAAGTACACAGTGGCACTTGCTCAGCTCACCAGGGACCCTTCTCCATGTCCCGAAGGCTCATAGTTCAAGGCTACTTCTGGCCCATGATGGCTAGAGATTGTGCGGATCTAGCCCGAAGGTGCACCGCTTGCCAACACTTCCAGAAGGCCCCCGGCAGACCAGCGGTCAACTATGCCCCCATCAGCACCGCTATACCCTTCTCCAGATGGGGTATTGACTTAGTAGGCCCTCTGCCGAGGGGTACCTCCAACAACAGATACATCATCGTTGCCATTGACTACTTCACCAAGTGGGTGGAAGCCGAGCCCCTCGCCAGCATCACTGAGGCCCGGAACAGATCATCACCGACAACGGCACTCAATTTGAGGCAGCCCCCTTCTGTGCCCTCCTTGAGGCATGGGGAATCAAACACACTCAATTTGAGGTTTGGCGTCCCCCAACAGATCATCTCCGACAACGGCACTCAATTTGAGGCAGCCCCCTTCTGTGCCCTCCTTGAGGCATGGGGAATCAAACACACCTTCTCATCCGTTGCCTACCCTCAAGGCAACGGACAAGTAGAGAACGCCAATCGCACCCTACTTGAGGGCCTGAAAAAGAAACTTGAGGCCGAAGGGGGAGGCTGGGTAGAAGAACTCCACAACATCTTATGGGCCTACCGCACCACCCCTCGGCGTGCAACAGGTGAAACACCCTTCTCCCTATGCTATGGCTTTGAAGCTAAGGCTCCAACAGAAGTGACCCTTCCTACCCGAAGGGTGGAACAATATGAACCTGAAGTCAACGACGCCAATATGGCCCTCGATCTTCATCTTATCTCAGAACGCCGAGAGCAAGCCTTACTCAGGGCTGAAAACTATAGAAGACAAGTCAAGGGCTACGTCGACGCGAAGGTCCGCTCCCGGGAATTCCAGGTGGGGGACTACGTCCTCCGACGAAGGGAGGCCAGCCTACCCACCGAAGGCGGCAAGATGGCGCCTAAGTTTGAAGGCCCCTACATTGTCTCAACCATCATCAAGCCGAGAACATACAAGTTAAAGCGTCCTAATGGGACAGAGGTCCCTAGACATTGGAATGTGCACCATCTTGTCAAGTTCTACCAGTAAAACATGAGCGGCCAAGCCCTCATTCTCAACAAATGTAAATGATCTATGGCCCAAGGCCCCATTCATTTTGAAAGAATAACCAAAAAGGCCAAGCCTTCATCACCTACATGTTGCACAAGCGGCCCAAGGCCCCCCTTCTCTCCTAAAATGAGTGGCCAAGCCCTCATCTTCTCACCAAAATAGGCCCAAGGCCCCCTCTCTTCACAAGGAAGAACAAAATACGACTTCACCAATCAAGATACCAAGTACCAAGTGTGCGGGTTACCCCCACCACTATTTAAAAACACCACTTGTTTTTAACTAAGCCGTGCCCCACGAGGACGGCCTCATGCATACATTATGCATATCCCCACAACCTCCTAAAAAAACAAAAGAAAAAACTGGGGGGTACAATACCCCTCGGCCCCGGCTGGCACCAAGTGCCCCCGGCTATTTGTGTTCCACACACAAATAAAATCCTTCCCTGAAACGCTTTCCGCGCCATCCCCCAAGGGGAGGCAGGCAACAGACCATGTCCCGGGCCCAGGATTCGACTTTCACAATCGAAACGCTCCCCGCGCTATCCCCCAAGGGGAAGCAGGCAACAGACCATGTCTCGGGCTGAGGGGACGACTTTCAAAACCGAGGCGCTTTCCGTTCTATCTCCCAAGGGGAAGCAGGCAACAGACGAAGTCTCGGGCCGAGGAAACGACCCTCAAACCCTTCGGGATATCGGAAGGTCATTCCCGAAGGGGGAGCCAACGGTTTACTCCGTTGCCTCCCATATAGGCCAAACCTTTCCTAGAAACCAAGTTTCTAGATGCCTCTCCTACATCATTCAAAAAAAAAATGGAAGGAACTCCCCGGATACTATTCTCCCCGGAGGCTCAAACAACGTTTCGGGGTTATATTCCCGAAGGCTCCCTCAAACATACAAAGGAGTCTCTCAACACAAAGTCCTTCGGCTACTTACCCTAGGGCTCCGCTACATGGAGGATTTCCCCAAATCAAAGTCAACTATGCCTCATGATTGAAGTCTACATGCCGAAGGCGGAAGGTTACCAGGCTCATTTAGTAATGAAAAATGAATGGGTCCACGCATTGGCACCCTTCGGAGGACACTCATCAAACCGAAGGCTACTCACAATGTTTATTGGAGACAAATCTCAGAATTTCACCAAGTCCATGAACTTGGGTCCCCTCGGCAACTATACACACCAGGGGCTCAAGCAATTCTCACATTCGAAGGTTCACTACAGCCTCTATTCAAACTTTGTGAAAAAATGACTAAGTCCACAATTGGGGACCCTTTGGGGGCAAACCGGGGGCCGTCTTTAACCGCAGGCTTGCAGCCGATGCCCCCCCCCCGAATTACTTGGCAAGGACCTAAAGTTGCATTATGACCCGAAGGCTCAACAACTGCTGGTGGCCTAGGATGAAACTAGCTTGGAAAACTTCCTAAGTGTGATTCACTCTAGCCCTCAGTCCTACAACTACAACCCGGAGGCAACTCCAACGGTTCGTTGCCAAAGTCCACAACAATAAGCCCCCGGCGATCCCAATATACAACTGAGGGCTCATGGCTGGGCTTTTTACTTGGAAAATTTTCTAAGTCCACTACTACATACCCTCGGTGAATATACATGGCAGTCGGAGGCTTCTGGTCAATTTTCACTTGGAAAATTTTCTAAATCCACATCAAGGGGTCCACTATAGCAAGGGGCTCAGTAAACTCCTGCGTCCGAAAGGTTCTGATCAAGGTCTTACTCAGAGAATTTTCTAAGTCCACAACCGCGAGCCCCCGGTGATTCTACACTATAACCGAGGGCTGGTTGGTAAGTCTTACTTAGAAAATTCTCTAAGTCCACAAACTTGCGGCTTTCGGGAAAACGAAATGAAAACATACATTCATACGCAAAGGATAAGGGACGAAGGCATTCATTCGACAGATAGCTCGAGGGCATAAACGGCACGAAGGCTCGAAAATTAGAAAAGGCATTCATTCATCGAAAAATATTAAAGTACAAAAGGTGTTTTGTTTACAAGACAGATGGCCGGAGCCGAAGGCCTACAACTATTACAAAGGCTAGTACTCAGGAGAATTCTAGGCTTAAGCCTCTTCAGCTGCATCCGTCTTCGGCCTAGAGGCAGCATCATCCTCGGCGTCATCATCGTCTTCATCGTCACACCGGGCTAGCTCCGAGTCCTCAAGCACCGGCCTCTCTTCGCCCGGAGGGAGGGCAACCCTAACGTCCGGCTGCAGAGGGGGAAGGCCATATGGCGCCGGATCGAAATCCTTCGGGTCCACCCCGAAATGGCGAGCCAATCTCCGATAGATCATGGCTTGGGTAAAGTACTGACCACCATCGTAAAAGCTTTTTCCCTTCAGGGCCAGCCACATGGCGCCAGGGCCTTTGACCCACTCGTCCGCAGAGGCTTCCACCACCGAGGCCAGCCAAGAACCGTGCTCCTCGGATTTCCAGCCCTCAGAAGTAAAGGTGGCGATGACGTCCTTCTTTGCCTGAGCTATGGCCTCTTGCTTATCAGCCTCAGCTTTCGCGACCGCTTCCCTAGCTTCCTCGGCGGCAGCCCTCTCCGCAGCAGCCTTGCCCTTGGCCTCGGCATCTTTCAGCCTCTGCTCCACTCCCTCTTTGGTACGCCGGAGGGTTTCTTCCAGCTCCGCCATCTGCCTGACGGCCTCGGTGTTGGTCACAATCATCTTCTTAAGGGCCTCTTCATTCTGCGCCTTGTTTAGGCGCATCTGCTCCATCCTCCGGACGCATTCCCCGAAGGCCACACTAGCCTGCAAACATATATGATGACATTCAGAGTCAGACCACGAAAAGAGGGGACACAAAGGCAAACATTATCAAAGATCCAACAAGCCTGAAAACTTACAGTAACTGAGGCCTGGAGGGCCTTGTGCTCGAGAGCTTCATCGTCAAACCGGCCGAGGGTGGACCGATCAAGCGGGGGAGTGGCACCCCTCAGAAACTCCCTCGGGTCGAGGGTGCCGTGGATGATGGCAGTCCCCTTCTTAATGGGGAACTGCACAGTTTCCAAGGGCCAGGCCCCTTCGTCAAAATTCTCCAAAGGGAGGGAGCCCGAAGGCTTGCTCGGGGAGAGCTCCTCAATGATCACTACTGGGGGAGCCTTCTGCCCAGCATCCCCCTTTAGCTTCTTCTTTTCCGGAGGCTTGGTGCCCTTCTCGGCATTTTTCCTTTTGAGCTCCGCGGCATTGGAGCCCTCGATGACAACACCAGCGTCAACAATTCGTGAGGGCCTCTCACCCTCTTGGTTATTCGAGGCCTCCGGCTTCTTGAAAAACTCATCAACAGCCTTCTGCGTAGAGGGCCCCTCCTCTTTCTTCTTTTTGCTCTCCTTTGCGAGTTGTTTCTGCAGCTTGGCGAAGGCTTTGAGATCCATAATGTCACCTGCAAAAAATAGGGGAGAGTTAGATTCGAAACAGATCAAAACCACAAAATGTCTAAGTACTAAAGAGGGGATCCCTCGGTAACAACCTCCGGCATTTTGATAGCCTCGGGCAATCGGAGGATACCTCTCATCTTTCTCCCCCTCCAGTCGAAACCGTCGGAAACCTAGCAGATAGAGCTCGTCTGGAAGGGTGACAGCCTTTATAGTCAATAACTTGTTAGAGCCTTCGGGTTTCGCCGTTAGCTTTCTTCCGGCCTTCTCAAGGGCGTAGTTCCCAACCTTCAGATGCCTCCGGAAATGATCGCGCAGTGGCCTCGGAAAGGGGTTTTCCGGCATCCGGATGTAACAAAATCGATCTTTCCACCCTTTGTGGGATGACGGGATTTCAGAAAAAAGCCTCCAGGAGGGAAGTTGTCGTAAGTTGGCGAACCCCTCCGCGTGTGTATGCCCCCCGGCACAAGTTAAACGACAGGAAGAACTGATCCAAAGTCGGCTCCACTTCTCGGGACCGGCAGAGCGAGAGAAAACCAGAGATGTATGAATGGCTGTTGGGGGATAACTTGCAGGGGGCCAACCCCAGGAACTCGAGGTACTCCAGCAAAAAGGAATGGAGGGGAAACCGGAGGCCCAAATCTACTGAGAGGATGTGCAGCGAGAAGCATCCCTTGGGCGGATCAGACAGCAAATCGTTGGGGCCGGGTTCAACCACTTGTGCAGAGGGCCTTACCAGGAATTGGGTGGCTTGGTAGTCGGAAGCCGTCGCCTTTGTCTTCATCGCGAGGGCCGCCGTGTTCAGATATGAATGGCCCTCGGGTATGCCCACTGGCCGCCCCGCGTCGATGGCGGCCTGCTTCCTCTTCGGCGCCGCCTTCATCTTCCTCTTCCTCTTTCCCGGAGCAACCCGAAGAGGTTCGGGGTTCAATGGCCGAGAACTGCTCGCTTCTCCAGCGTCGTCGGGAGACACGACGGCAACGGTAACCGCCCTACGTTCCTTCTCCTCCTCCTCCTCTGCAACCTGGAGAGCGAGGGCCATCTCCTCGTCTTCCACTACTTGTTCGAACTCCTCGGCTTCCGCCTCGGTCCGAAGGTGGTCTTGAACTTCTTCAGCTATAGCAGAATCATTTGCTGACGACGCCTGCTCACTCGAGGATTCTACGTCCGAAAAGCTCTCCTGCTGGACCGAAGCCTCCCTCGATATATCATGCGAATCATCTCCCGAAGACATTGCGGAGAGGTAAAGATCGAAGGGTTCAGGTCGAAGGCTCCTAGAATCTATAAACACTAAATCTAGAGGGACGCAAGCAAAATATACCTAAGGAGGCAAGAACAGAGGGAGGACTCACATGAGATTCGGGACTTAGATCGAAAGGGTTACTTTCTCTCTCTAGAAAATTCGGCAGAGCTCCGCTATGACTCAGAAACGCACAGGAGGAAATGGCCTTAGCAAAGGGTATTTATAGGCTTATGGCCTCGAAATATGGGCCTCGATTTGAAAAGCCCATCATTACATGCCGTCTCATTCCCCAATGGGTGGCAGCCGCCCGCCCCCAGCCAACGAGGACACGCCACGTCAACTCCTCTTCCAACGGCTCCATTACAACGGCTATATTCCTCGAACACTAGGGTGCCCTCAAATGGTGGCCTCCGGCTATCACTGTCCGCAGCCTTCAGACAACGAATTCCACCAAATGCCTTCGAGCCCGCAGCAGCATAAGCCTTCAGCTTGTCAATATTGCATCCTCGAGCATGTAGCAGCATACGCCTTCGGTTTATCAATGTTACAACCCCTCGGGAGCTCATCAACACATCATAACTCCTTCAGCCCGAACTCGCCTTCAGCCTAAAGGAGTGGGGGACTAGGATACACCCCTCGGGGATCGCACATAACGGAAAACAAAAATCCCACGAGCAAAGCAGATTTACACCCTCCGGCAAAACAGAATTTCAGAAAAACTCCGCATATTCACCAACAATGATAGAGTAGCCTTCATCACAACACATACGGAGATTATTTACACTTCCCTCAGAAAACCCTCGACATGTGAGGGACTGAGGGAAGCCTTCGGCAACCAGCAGAAGACAAGTTCTCAAGCAGAGGCACCCAACGAAATGATGAAACCTCCAGAAGAATCAACACAACTACTCCTTTTCCCTCAAGTACCTTTCGGCAAAAGGAGTGAGGGACTCCTGATGGAGTATATGGCCCAGGAACCCCCGGCCCATAGACCTCTACTTCTCCTACACAAGCCCATTGAGCCATGGGAACATCCCAGGCCCAAATGCAGCGGCTCGAGCGTCGAAGAAGCCCAAAATACACACTGGGGTGCCTTCGGCCTCCTTGGCCGAAGGCTCCAAAACTCACAGGATAGCCTTTTTGGGCATACGAGGCTACTAGGAGAAAAACGGCGGAAAACAGGAGCCTTAGGCATCATCAAGCCCTCGACATCAGAGGAGCCTCCGGCTGAACCAAGCCTCCGGTCACGCAGGGCCCTCGGCTACACAGGGGTCCCCGGTCACATGGAGCCCTCGGCTTCGCAAGGAGCCTTCGGCCAAACATGCTCAATCATCGAAGATTCCCTTTGGAGACAGCCAACCACCGCATTTAATGCAACGTCACATCCGCCAACCGCATTCAATGCGGTCAACGTACCACTGCCAGTGCCACCCGATTGATGTGATCCCTCGGCCGTTGGATTACTTACACGTGTACTCTCATCGCATTTATTGCTGCTATAAATAGCAGCCCATTTCTCATTGTGAACGATCTCAGATCTCACATCTCGAGTTCATTTTAATAAATCGACTCTCTCTCTCCTCCTACTTTGCTCTGACTTCTCTCTAGTTATTCCCGCAATAACCCCTCGGATAAGATACCCCCCGGGTAGACTGTCCATCAACTGTAGAGGGTCATTTTAGCTATTTTCATATAATTTTTTCTTTACTTTATTAATAAAAGGGAAAAGGTGCAAATAGGCTCATGTACTAACCAAAAAAGGTCAAATAAGCCCTTGTTTAGGAGGTTCTGTCCGGCCGTCGTCATTTGGGGTGGTTCCCGGTGGAATTTTTTGATGAATTGTTATGAGCATCTTATTCATCAAGTCCAGTTTACTCATATCAAATTTCAGCTAAAACTTCAATCGGGAAGGCATTCAAATGAATTCTTGAAAATAACTGCGCGCAGTCCCTGTCGAAACCCACCACCAGTCCCAGACATGTCGGAAAACCTTCCCCTCGCCACTCACCTTAATCTCAGCCCATCCACCGCCATCGCACAGATCTGTTACAACCGCCGAAGTCCGCCGCATCGCCTCCCAATTGCTGTAGCCATCAAAGTCAGTCACCGCCCAGATCTGCTCAGGAGAAACAGATCTGCTGTAAGATACAGAAGTCGCTGCTGGCCCCCAAATCCGACGAATCACGACGCCGGCACTATCCGTACTTCGGCCCTTCGAAACTGTAGTCGCACACCGCGATGGTCAATGGTGCTGTCGTCGACGAATCTGAGGGCGGAGGTGCTAGATGCTACCTTTGACGATAAACCGCGGCGGATCATGGGCGGTGGTGGTTCAAGGATGAGGACGAAAGTGAGAAGGGTTAGTCGATAGAGAGGAGTCTGAAGCGAGAATAGAGAAAGGATTGCCAGGGATACGGACGGAGCTGTTAAGGGAGAGTCAGTTTTCTGTCCATTTTAAAAGTACTCATATTTTTGTCTTGGGGATTCTTTGCTAAAAAAAGGGCTTTTGCCTTCAATATTACTAAATTAAAGCCACTATCCTAAAATGTGACCATTTTTCAAAAAGATAAAAAAGTGACTAAGAAGGTCATATATTTGAAAAAACATAATATCACTGTCAGATTTTATGTCACTGTGGCCACCGCCCGTGTCACTGTAGCCACCGCCCGTGTCACTGTAGCCACCGCCCGTGTCACTGTAGCCACCGCCCGTGTCACTATAGCCACAACCCGTGTCACTGTAGCCACCGCCCGTGTCACTGTAGCCACCTCCCGTGTCACCGTAACCACATCCCGTGTCACTGTAGTCGTCTTTATCACTTTAGCCGCCACCGGACAAAGTGACTGGCCGCCAACTCCGTCCACCGCCGCCACTTTCCGGCCACCCCTCCCCAGCCCGCAAACCCCCTCCATAGCCCCTAGTACCCTCTAGGTCCGCCCAACCCACACCACCACCTGACTTGTCTTAGTCTACTCACAAATTCTCAGTAACCCAAGTGGTAGGTCCCTAGCATCCCTGACCCTATCCCCACACCCCAGTCCCGACATTATCCCCACACCCCAATCCCAGCTCCAGCACCCAAAACCTCCGTCGAAATGCCCGACTAGCAAAAGCTCCCCTCCACGGCTCCCTAGTCTCGCTCATCCAGCCAGCGCCACCCAGCGCCTCCCAGTGCGGCCCAACAACCTGTCACATAGACCTGTACAAAACCGGCCCGGCCCACCCGGCCCGCCCAACCGGCCCGCACAAATGGGCGGGCTTGGGCATATATATTTACCCATCGGGCCGGCCCGAGCCCGGCCCGCAATAACATATGGGCGGGCTTGGGTTAGGGTGTAGGCCCGTTCGGGCCGATAAGCCCGGCCCGCTACATTTAGTGTATATATAAATATATATACACACACTAATTTATTTATTTATTTACATGTACACATGTATATTTATATTTACTAATATAATTTACCTTTATTCATATTTATAGTTTATTATATGTAAATTTAAGTTTTTAGTTCTTAACAACTAGCCCAACTAATATAGTATCTATTTTTGTACTTAAAGATAATACTTTTTGCTTGAAATTTAAATTTTAGATATAGTTTCTCATTATTATTTTTATGTAAGTATTATTTTTGTATGTGGGGAAAGGCCTATAAATATTATAAGCGTATTAACAATTTTTTAAATGTTGTCATATTATTTTTAAAGTATTAAAAAAATTATATAATTTAGAAAAATTTAAACTTTTCCGGGCCGGAAGGCCCGGTGGACTACCCGGCCCGCTCTTACGGGCGGGTATGGACATGGAGTTAGGCCCGTTTTTGCGGGCCGGACCCGCCACACATGATGGGCAAAAAATTTATAAAAGCCCGGCTCGAGCCCGGCCCGAACCCGTTTTTGTGCACGTCTACTGTCACCTATGTAGCACCGATACCGGTACGCGGAAACGCGGAAACGCGGAAACGGGTACGGGGATACGTCAAAACCAAAAAAGGTAGGATACGGATACGGGGCCATATTTATAAATATTAAAAGTTATGGGGGTGTATTTACAAATACTAAAAGTTATAGGGGTCTATTTATAAATATTAAAAATAGATTTTATATATATATATATATACACACATACTTATAATATCTTATGATGTCTACCTATTCATTGCTTTGAAGCATTTTCCTTTTTCAAGATACTTAGTAATAAATTCATAATATTTCTCATATACACTAGTCATCTAGAAAAATAAATATAGTCAATAAGTCATTAATTTAAAATGAGAAATAAGTCAAACAACTACAATCTTGAAATTAAAAGTGCAAGTATCCAATTCGGAGTATGAGTTAATGACTTAATTCGGATATAGCCATATAGGCCCATTATTTGATTACCAAATAAAATGTAGTTTTAGATTTTTATTTTTTTAGAATTTTATTAAGTAAATTTTGGGATTTTTTTTTAAAGTTGATACGGGTATCCGTCAGGATACGAGTATCGGAAACTTTCAAAAAATTACAAAAAAAAATGGAAACTTTTAAAAATTGCAGATACGGCCCGGGAACGTACGGTACGGGTATCCTAGAGTATCGGATACGGGAACGTATCGGATACGCCGATACGCTACCCTAGCGAAGTATCCGTGCTTCATAGACTGTCACAACCGGAATCGGTCCCTGCAAAATGAAGACCACAGATCTGAATCGCCATCACAGATCTGAAATCAATCATAGATGTGAAGCTATTGAACATAGACGAAGAAGAGAAGTTGCGAAGAAGGTGAAGATGAAGCTCCTGTCTGTGTAGCAGACCGTCGCCGTCACTTTTTCGTCGACGTCGTACTGGTGGTCGCCGTCTTCTCCGATGGTGTCGCACTGGTGGTCTTTTTTTCTTCGATGGCTTTGCGATGGTAGATGATGAAGGTGAGAAGCAGGGATGGTGAAGAGGAGAGAAGAAAACATAGCTCATTTGTGTTCGTTCGCGTTAGAAGAGGGAAAGAAGATAAGGTAGCGGAAGAGTTGAATGGTTACATTTTTGCCCCAATCAAGTTTACTGATATTCGTGTCCACACAAACTCCTGGACTTAGGGTCTGTTTGCAACAGCTTTTGCTTTTAAAAAAGTGCTTTTTTTAATGAAATGAGGAGAAATGATTAAATAAAAGTTGATAGTGTTTGAGAAAAAAGTGATTTTGAAAAGTAAAAGTGAGTAGTGTTTGGTAAAATAAGTGCTTTTTGTGTAATAGAAAAAGTAAAAGCACTTTTGACGCGGAAGCCGAGAAAAATAAAAGTTGTAGTGTTTGAGAAAATAAGTGCTTTTTTAAAGCCAAAAGCTGAGAAGTGCTTTTTTAAAATGAGTTGCAAACCAACCCTTATACAGGCGTCATTCTTTCATAAAAAAATGCATTTGCCGGATAAGCACATGTTGAAGCGTGTGGGTCAGGGGTGACGCAGATCCGGAACGAACTTATCTTATTTCAACGCCTCCGATCGTTCCACGTTTATTCCGCTCGTGTTCTCAGATCCTTCCTTCTCTCCACCTGTTTCTCTTCCCGTCGTTGTCTCGCCGATTTCCCAGTGGCAGTCGGCGTAATTAAGCAACAAATCTCTGTCTGTTTCCTTAACCTGGCCGTCCTTTCACTTCCTCCCATGTACACAGTACACACACTCTCTCTCTATATATAAACTGTCTCTCTCTCTCTAAATATGTAGAGGTACACAGAAAATTGCCAAAGGATGGGAAATGTGAACGGCAGAGAAGACGGGATTTCCGGCTCCGGCGATGAGGTATCGATGAGATCCGGTGGCGAATCCAGCATGCTTGATCAGGCGCCTACTTCAGCTGACCTCATGTACCACTCTCCATCGCCTCTCTTGTTCGCTCCACAGGTTCACAATCTGCTTCATTGCTTCTTGTTTATGTACTGTATGCTGCTATCCCACTTGTGTTCATAGCATTTTTCGTATTTTATGGTCCTGGATATTGGCATGGTGTGGCTAAGTTTCTTTACTACCTTTAAAGAAACCCTGGTGAACATTTAAAAATTCTTTACAACCTTGGTTAACATTTAAAAGTTCTTATAAAAGTGTCTAAAAATATAGACATGCTGGGTGAAAATGTGTGGTATATTGATAACGATGCCCACGTGGACGATGCGTGGTTATCAAAGAAGTTGACCATTAACAAAGTGACGAAGGAAATACTTGAACACAGATGAGTACAAGGATGCTAAAGGAAAAGCAAAGAAAGCTGTAAAGAAAGCAAGAAAGAAAGTGAATTAGGAGTTGTATGTAAAATTGGAATCTAACAAAGGAGAACGTTTTTATAAACTTGCCCATTTTCTAATCGTAGGGCTCAAGATATCAGAAAAGTTAGGTGTGTGGTAAATAGGTAAAATAGATGTGGAGGCCATACTTTGATGATAAAATATACCGTACAACCGGCTGTACCATGTGCTTGGTACAGCCGGGTATTTTTGTAATATTTTGCTGAATCAAGGGTTATTATTGGGGCAAGCTGTGTTTTCTATTCGATGAAGTTTTGCCGGACATCTTGCTGCGGACATCTTCATCTTGCTGCGACCTTCTTACAGGAGAGTTACGTTGGAGAAGAAGACTGAGGTGATGCGTCTGATAGACCGTTTATATATTGATGTACTTCGTATTTGGGAATTCTCCCTCTTTCTTGACCACCCCTAAAATTAGGAATTATTCTGCTTTGTTGACTATTGCTAGCATCTGGAACCCAGCTGGGAAGAGAAGTGCGTAATTGAGCTGGTTATTCTTGAATAGAAGAAGGGGGAGGGATATGTCATTGGCCGATTATGCATCTTCATCTTGCTGTGCACAACTTTTGATTTTTTGGTGTTCTATAAACACGAGGGTTTGGGCTACGCTAGACAGGGGCTGGATCGTTGGGTAACAAGAAAAGCCGGATTGGACTAATTGCTATTTGGGATTCCATGTTTTTTTTGCTGATTAGTGCAATTTCATTTGTGGATGGTGCTTCTTTATTTATGTTACTCATATGAATTAACATTTGAGCATATTAAAGATTTTTGAATTTTTCGATACTCATTTCGTAAATTGTGTATGCTCATTCAATATTGATGTAATACTCATTTTAAAATATCATATTCATGCATGCTTAAAATGAGCATATTGGTGTAATGCTCATTTTAAATTTTCTGATGCTCATTTTGTTAGCTATGTATGCTTATTTAATAATTGAGCATACTAAAGATTTTAAATGATTTTTTTGAATTTTTCGATGCTCATTTAGTAAGTTATGTATGCTCATTTGGTGTTGGTGTATTGCTCATTTTAAAATGTCATATTCATTCATATTTCAAAAGTATAATATTACACTAGATTCGCATATGGGATTCATACGGGTTCATTATAAACATTTTAGAAAGTAAAAAAAAGTGAATTACAAGTACAAGATATGAAGCAGAGATCACGATGTTCAGTACTTGACTTCTAATACTCAGTGAAATAAGTCACGATGCTCGCTCAGTGAAATGATTTTTTTTAATTGTCGGTGCTCATTTCATAAGTTATGTAGACTCATTTGTTGTTGATGCAATACTCATTTCATGCCCATGTTATGCTCATTTTTAAATTGTCATAACAATTTAAAAATGCATTGTTATGACAAATTAAAAATGAGCATAACATGGGCGTTTTGAATTCATAGGAATTGATTATAGATATAATTTAATGAGTATTATAAAAGAAAAAATAAGAAAAAGAAAGTAAATTACAATATATGAAGTTGATATTACAATACTCATTATTTAACTATTAATGCTCAGTAGAATACGTCTGATGTTAATTAAAAGTTTATTAATGCTCATCTAACAAAAATCGCGGTTTTCACTGAAATTACGAAAATGCTGCCGAATTTTAGTTGTGATATCAGCTTTCTTGTAATAACACGGTGCTCATTATTGGACGCTTAATACTCATTAAAATTGGACTATTGCTCATTAACAATAGACTAATGCTCATTTAGTAGAAACCGCGATTTTCACATTAATTACAAAATGCCACCGAATTATTTTGCTATTTTTCCCTTAGGCCTGTTACTAGACCCAACGAGAATAAAATGCAAGGTAATGATGATCTTACTATACCATATTGTATGGTAAATTGGGACTTTGTGAGTAGGATTGACGTATTGATCGAGGTCAGAAGAAGTTCAGGAGAGAGACGTTGAGTGGTTAACACGTTTGTTAAACAACATTTGGAGAAACAACAAAATGCCAGCGAGTTGGCCGAAGAGTACTCTTGTTCACCTATTTAAGAATAAGGGTGATGTATAAGAATGTGCTGACTATCGAGGATTAAGCTTATGCGCCACACCATGAAACTTTGGGAGCGAATGATTGAGCAAAAATTTCGAAGAAGTGTGAAAATTTTGGAGAACCGATTAAGTTTTATGCGTGATCGCTTAACAATTCAGGTTAGTTACCTTCAACTGAGTCGAAGCAATATTGAGTATACGGAGTGCAAGTTTGGTAGAGATAGAAGTAGTGATAATAGTGAGAAATGTATCTCATAGAATCATAACAAAGTAGATGAAATGGCAGAGTGCGTCATGGTTTCTATGTGATCAAGGTATGCCGATTAAACTGAAGGGTAAATTTTATCGGACACCGATAGACCTGCATTACTATATGACATAGACTGTTGGACGGTGAAACAATGTCATATCTAAAAGATGAGCATGGTAGAGATGCGCGTTTTGCATTGGATGTGAGAATGAGATAATCAGTAGGAGTATCACCTATAAAAGGTCAGATGTGTGGGTCTCGATTGCGGTGGTTTGGTCATCTGCGTAGAAAACCAAACGATGCACTTGTTGGATGAGTTGAAGGGTGAGGAGAAGAGACGTGGAAGAGAGTGGAAGATCCAACAAACGTGGATTAGAGAAATCGAAAGTGATATGCTTCTTCTTGATTTGGATGAGAGTAAGAATGTGGAGAGAGCAAAGTGGAGGGCGAAATTCGTGTGGATGTTTGATTTCTTTTCTCTCTTTTCTCTCTGTTTTTCTTTTGCTTTTAACTACTTTATCTTTCTTACCTTGTTTAACATTTTTATCCTTTTTATTATATATATATATATATTATCTGATCATTTTTATTTTTATCATATCTTTATCTTGCTTTATTTATCTCTTTTATCTTGATTATCTTTCTTTTCTTTTTAAACCTGATATCATGTATGGATTAATGTTAGCCGACTTCAAAATCTTTGAGATTAAAGCTTGTTGAAAGACACCTAGAAATTTAGGAAGTATATGAAAATAATCATCATCATCATTTTCATTTACCCCAGTGCCGCAAAGGCTCCCACCTACGGTGGGGTAAGGGGGGGGTTAGATGTACGCAGTCTTATCTCTGTACTAAAGTACAGAGAGACTGTTTCCGGATGACTCATAGTGAAAATCGCGTCCAAAATTACATGGATTGACTGTTGCTTCATAACAAAGAAGCGCAGACAGTTTAGTGAGTCATTTTACTTTATTCCATCATATTCTCAAGCCAAAAAATAATGAATCTTTGGCTCCATTGCAAATGATGGAAATAGCAAGTATATGAAAATATATGGAAAATTTGTTCTCATTATGTTTCCCAAAAATATCTGCTAATGATGATTTTTATATTATTAACGAATTAGCTATAGTGACTTATCCTCAAATCTTTTGCAAACTTTCTTTAATTTATGTTCCGTTTGATTTTCGCTGAGATAGGGCGTGTAATTTATCATGAAATCTCTTTTCACATTGGAATTTAGGATGAGTAATATTCTTCAGGAAACAAATCCTACATCAAGATTTGGATATTTTTTAAATTATTAATAGTAATATAACGCACTTATTTCGACCAATAAATAACGAGTAAGACTTACCTCATAGTAGTTTCTTATACTTCCCATGTATGGGATTGTATTGAGCATTTGAGACACTCCAAACTCCAAAATTCACCATTTACTTACCTTAGTTGTTTGACTTGTTTCTTAATACTGGACTTGAAAAACATACAACTTAGGAAGTATGAAAAGTAAAATTTAGTCAAATTGACTATGGAAGCTAGTGACATACAATTAGGACAGAGTGAGCATTAGGATGCTAGAGAATCATGTTTCTTCATATCACTAGTCAGAGGTAATGTTGTGTCTTTATATGTGATTAGTCTGGGACAGTCTGGGGTTCTTTACTTGAATGTGTGGATGAGATTTGGATTGAATGGGCTAGATAATGCTCAGTTTATCATAAAGACAAACAAGTGGAGAGGGGAACTATTAGTGTTAGTCGATGAAAACTAATCAAACATTAATTGTATATTAGCTCCAAGAAGGCAAGAAGTACAAACTCATCTCACTTCGCAAAGTGAAAATTAATCATAGTCATCCATATTAATGAGGTTATGGTGGATTTGAGAGAAAGATGGGAAAATTCCCCACTAACCGCATGAGTTACGGTGGATTGGAGAAAAACATGGGAAAACTCCTACTAACGGTTGAGTATTTAGTGGCTCAAACAATTCTTACCCTTGATGTTGTAATTTTGGACAGATGAAATGAATTTGCATTTTGTACCGGAAGCATACTTCGTATCTGATCTTAACCCGGATGACTATTTTTACTTTTTGGGACAATGTTTGCTGCATTATACCAGGAAAAGAAAATATTATTCCTTTAGGGGAAACTATATCACATTATGGCTATGGGTGATGGTAATTCCAGGATAATTCACACATGTATTCTTATTTTGTAAATATTTTCATTTTTGTTTAGCTTGCTTATGGAGCGAAATAATATTTTCTAGAACAAATTTTCATATATGTTTGCTGTCACATTAACTCTCCGTGGATAAAAAGAGAAATACTGACAGCTGAATAACAGACTTGCTGCGAGCATCCAAATAACACTAACAAGTAACAAGTACATGATTCCATCAGAGTTCTGATTTTACTGAAGCCAATATGATAGTACGAGAATGCCATGTCAATGAAAGGTTTTTTAGACTAAGAGGAACTGGACATTTGATTCTATTGCATGAGAGAAATGCCACAGATTCATCTCTTTGTTGTTAATTTTGGGCAAATCCAAAGTGATTAAACATTAATGGGGATCGATTTATCTAACTTGACCTTTCTGCCTCAAAAAGTTAGGTTTCAAAGGATTCAAGATACTGACCTAGTTTAGTCATCAGTCACTACTTTCCCAAATTGATGTATATGTTGATGCTTTGTAAAAAGAAATCCCCTTTTTATTTCCTTAGGTTCCAGTAGTGCCACTGCAACCACTAGGGGGCAATGCTGCTCCTGTTACCAATCAAATGTGGTCATCCACCGAGCTTCACGGTACTGCCAATCATATTCCCGAGGAGGGCATACCTACTCTGTTAACTTGGAGTTATGGCGGCAACAATGTGACAGTAGAAGGATCTTGGGATGATTGGAGGTCAAGGTGAGTTACTTCTTTGTACTCATATCTTATAAGAGCTACAGTAGAACTCTGTTATTCTTCTTATCTATATGAATGTAAATGGTGGCCTAATCTACATATTTACTAGCAGGAAGGTACTCCAGAGATCAGGCAAGGATCACGCTATTCTCTTGGTCCTCCCATCTGGTGTATATCATTACAAATTTATTGTGGATGGTGAGGTTAGATATATCGCAGAACTCCCCAGTGTACCAGACGAGATGGGTCGATTCTGTAATATTCTCGATGTTAATGTGAGTCAAATGTTCTTCCTTTAAATTGATTGATATATTGATTTACATTGTTGAGTAATTTCTTCACATTGCTGGTGTAATGTAGACTAACCCTTTGACAGCATGAATGCAATCAATTTTCTGTGCTGTGGTTTTCTCACGTTTTAAAAATCATCTGCCTCAAGTGGTGATTTTTCAATGCAATTGTACAAGCATGCTTGGCAGATATGTTCAAAATAACCATGTTTTTTGTTTATTCACATTTATACATGCACATAAACGGAAGGGTTGTTATTTATTTATGTAAACAGCATGACAATATAAGACTAAGATGAAACTAGTGGACAAAAATGATTATATTACGTAGTGAACATAGTGGTATTTATTCAGTCACCATTGTGATGTACTGATGTCATTAGACTGTCTATAGTGACCGTAATTTTATTTCCGTAGTGTCAATAGTCATATTTTGATCTCTTAGTTATATTTCAGCAATGCTATAGTAAAAAACTCCATTTATTTATTTATTTATTCGTTCGTTCGTTCGTTCGTTCGTTCGTTCATTCATTCATTCATTCATTCATGTTAGCAGGATAATGTGCCAGAGAACCTGCATAGCGTTTCGGAATTTGAGGCCCCAGCATCACCTGAATCAACCTATGATCAAGCATTTCTAGGAGAGGAGGATTTCGTAAAGGATCCAATGTTGGTTCCTCCTCAACTCCATCTAACTGTTCTTGATTCAGAAAATACAGATGGAACAGATGCTTCTTCCAAGCCCCAGCATGTGGTGCTTAACCACCTTTTCGTAGAGAAAGAATTGCCGTCATCACAGTCTGTGGTTGCTCTTGGTCTGACCCATAGGTTCCAGTCCAAATATGTCACAGTTGTCCTCTATAAGCCGCTAAAGAGGTAAAATACCTGATCTCTGGGGTTGTGGAAATGCTCACTCGTTTTCTGATTTTGGACAACTCTTGAAGTGTTTTTAACTCCCCAACTAATTCACGTATGTCTTTTCTCTCCCTCTCCATCTGTACATCTCTGATCTCATCATGCGTTACTCCTCCTCTCTTATGTACAAATGCAACAATATCATTACCTGCATTTAACCATCCTAACCGTGTGTCTTCATTTATTGGCTCTATCGTGTGCACGTTTCCCTTGCAAAATAAAGAGCTTGATTTTGTTATCTTTTACTCTTGTTTTTTTGGGGGTGTGTCTTGTGTGTGTGTGTGTGTGTTTTCATGAAATGTGGAGTCCAGTCCATGTGTATACCTAATATCGGCATTCTCCTTGTACATCGTTGAGATGCCACATTACTGAATGTCTGAACACTAAATCTATTTGCATTTTGTGTATAATTCGCTTTACTACTCCTTGCTTGGTATTTTTGCAAATTCGTATAGTATTTCAATCATCCGTTGTCTCTTTACGAAGCTAAATTGTACGAATTGTATTTGAAAAAAGGCAAAGCCTTGTTGAAAGTTGAACAAGAATAATTACAAGGAATCCTAGATCTCTTGTAATGTGCATGTGAGAGGAATTTTCACTTCTGGTCCAATATCTAATTTTCACTTTTAGTCTTTGACTTTCATCCTTTCACGTCTTGTGCAATACTTACACTTCGTTAATGTTTATGCATTTATCATGTGGAAATTAACCAGCAAGAGGACCAATAATGGCAAGTAATCCATAATCAATATGAGCAAAAGTGGAGTTCTTCCCATGTGATACTATCAGCAACGTTGGTTGATGGTGTAGATGTGTAGTCCGCATGGCGCATATTAGCCTTCGGTCTACCCCAAATTTCTAAACATCATACGTGTATATTACTAATGTATAATTTTTGTGTAAAAATCTATTCAAAAAATATTTTTATCGGCTCAGCAGTCAATCCAATGTTAGACAATATACTCTTTCCGTCTCACAAAATTCTTCCCACTTGCCATTTTGGGATGTGCAAAAAAAATCTTCTCATTTTCCTTTTTGGAAAGTTTTGTGTGACTAATATTCATTTACTTTGTTCATACTCAATTATAATCATACATTTCCATTTTATTCTCACTTTTTTAATAAGTGTGTCAAGTTAAATTGGGAAGTATTTTTTAGGATGGAGGGAGTATATCCTTGGCTATGCCCTGATAGTCGGCATTTGAAATGCTAGACTCAAATTAGAATTCTGAAATGGTTCTATGATTTACCAATTTTCCTTTTTTGATTGTTTTAAAAAGGGAAAACTGTCAAATAGGTCCTCGAACTTTCATAAAAAGGTCAACTAAGTCCTTCTATAGGAGGTTCTGTCCCGCCGTCGTGATTTGGGGCAGTTCCCGGTGGAATTTTTTGATGAAATTTTTTGAGCATATTATTCACCAAGTCTAGTTTACTCATACCAAATTTCAGCTACAAATTCAATCGGGAACACATTCAAATTAATTCTTGAAGATAACTGCGCATTTTTGCGTTCTCGAATTAATTTGAATGTGCTCCCGATTAAATTTTTAGTTGAAATTTGGTATGAGTAAACTAGACTTGATGAATAAGATGATAAAAAATTTTCATCAAAAAATTACACCCAAAAATGCTTGGATGCTGGGCATCTAACCCCCTTGGACCTAGGTGCTCCTTTAGCCGGGGTGTAATGGCATTCCTGAACTTGAAGTACATGGATGAGGCTATCTTGTTCCTCACTTGGGCGGAGGTACTTATGAGGTGCAATGGCGCTCCTTAGCCCACCCAAAGTGCTTGAGTGAGGGATCATCTTGTTCCTCAATTGGGCCGAGGTGCTCAGACGGGGTGCAATGACGCTCCTTGATCTATTCGAAATGATCGGATGAGGGGTCATCTTTTTCCTCAATTGGGTCGAGGTGCAACTTTATTGATTGGGAGGATCCAATCCTTTACATGGCTCCCAAAAGGAGTATTTATAGGAGAAACGTGTGTTGGCTTCTAGGCTTGTGCCTAGCAGGCCCAATTACAATACAAGACCAATAAATGATTAATAAATGATATTTAATCTATTCTAATGGGTATACATGAATAAATAGTGTACAATAATGTAAATGCTATCTACTGTGGGTACATGGACCGTTGTCTGTTCCTAATAGGCATGAGATCGGGGGTCTGAATCCATATATTATATCAATATGTAAATTTTATTGATAATCATTCCTTTTGGAATTTTCAAAATTTTAGCAATATAGAAAATTTCATGCACTCTATTTGCAAGAATATACACTTGGACTTCAATGTTGAATCTTCAAGGCTAATATAATGTTTTTTTTTGGAAAAAGACAACTTAATTGATATTAAAATCAAGAACCAGATACAAAGCTGCCACATTAAAGGTTACACTGGGATGAGACACAGAGTTGGAAGATCGCTGAAATGCGACCCAACTCGCTAACCCCACAAGCAGACTCCACTAACAACAATGTTGCACCTGCTACTAAAATGAATTATAAGGGTAACTAAAGAGTCTGGGAAAAGAGTAAAAATAAGAATAACGAGATCCATGTTTTCTAGCCACTAACAAGGAAAAGTGTGGTTTGTACAGCCCTCGTCAAAGGTCCATCTTCGTTGTCACATAGGTCCCCATCATTGGCTTAACAGGGTCAACCGCCATGCACTTCTTCATCACTACTCACAAGTTTTTCCTCTTGCTTGACCATCGAACTATTCTCATCTTCAAGGGTTTCAGTAAATATGACAGGTGTTGCCTCCCCATAGCACCGCCACCTGTCCGTTTTTCGAATCTTCCTCATATACCTCCATGTTGGCTTGAGTATCCTCTATGATATTCGGCTCTATCACTTTGCGCTTCCAGGGCTCTTCCTCTCGGGAATCAGCTATGCCTTCTCCTCTAGGGAGCAATCCTTCCATTATATAATTGTGTGTCACTGTGTCTCCTCAAAACTCACACTGCTTTTTTCTATAACATTCTCAATCTCTTCTGATCCTCACATGAGCTGGTTCCACTTCCGCTAAGGATATTGCCCAGTTGCACTCCTCCTCTCCTCATATCAACACACATCCAAACCCCATATGCCTTCTCTCTGGTCCAAGATCCAGAGTGAGTATTAGATGGACAAAAACGATCAAAATGTCCCAGGATTCCACAAATGAAGCGGAACTTTGAAAGACGCTCATACTTGAACTCTGCCCAGAACCAGTTACCCCCCTCCTTCCTTATATGTAGTTTGTGAACTATTGCTATCTTGATATTCATGATCACCCGAATCCACAAGATGGATCTCCAAACACCTCTTATCGTGCGCTCATCAACTGCAATGAACGGACTAGTTGTGTTTCCAATACCACATGCAACTTTCTGTGTCATAAAGCCTAGAGGTAGGTTATGGATCTGGACCCAAAAATCAGTATTGTCTGATGCCACCTCAAGTGGTCTATCCACCTGTCCTAAACGTCGTATTGCCACCAAATTTTGTTTGAAGGTCTAAGGTTCGTCCTGAAGTACCCGGTTGATATCCCCTTCAAGCTAGAACTGTAAAAAAAATTGAGTCGCCAATTTCGTCAATTAAAACACCTTTGACCGGTCTCCAGACCATCGCGCGCCAAGGTTGCCCGAAATGCAATGGGATAAATAGATTTGTCTGTCACCACACTCGCCAATGCCAAGAAACGTGGCACCACCATCACTCCATCTCCTTCTCCCACAGCATCATCGTAACCCCTCACCAAAATCTCCCTCATGCTACCATTGTACACAAAAAACAGCCACCAAAGCCCTTAAGGAACGAACAACAATTATGCTGCAACCCTCCACTAGGTTTTCCACTAAACCGCCAAGATTACAAAGAGTAAAAGTAGTAAATATAATACTCAACACACACTAGTGCAAAATAAGCAGAGACCTACACCGGAGCTAATGGATTCAAGCCAAGAAGATTAATCATTCTCGTGTAAGCAATCAAACAGAAGAAAAAGGACCAAACCCGTTCCCAAGGAACATAAGACATAACCTTGGCAAACAAACAGTGGTTGCCGGACTACACCAACCATAAAGCCAACTGACTGAAATAAAAAATAAAAACACACGATGAAACTTCGGTCCAGGCAGAGAGTGAATCAACGACAATGCAGCATTCCCTTCCCATACGTGAGCTCGCTCTGGTTCAAACGCCGGCCTAGATCATGTAATATTCCTCAGGGCCACTTCTCCTAGGGTTTTCCTGATATAGGCTAATATCATGTTAAGAGTTTGATTTAGGGAAATTTTCCCGACCAGCCATAATAAGGGAAATAATATCAACTTTTAGAAACTTAGATTCATATTTCAAAAATAAGCCACGTAATACCTTCTTTTCAAAAAAAGCCCATATATAAACATAACCAAATTAGAAACCCAAAGCTACTCGTCGTCTCCAGAGCGCGAAAACTACGGAAGTTTTCATGGCGTGATCGTGTTTTCTGAGCTGCGAACAAATCAGATGATCTCAACATTCATGGCGTGATCGCGTTTTCTGAGCACAAATTGGATCGCGAGACTGAATCAAAATTATCAGGTAATTTTACCAAGTACGATTACCTATTTCCAATTCTACTGAGAAATCAAGGTGCGATAATTAGTTATATGAGAAGCTATTCGATCGCGTTTTTGAGCATGAAATAACACTTCGTTTTTGAGCATGAATGTAAGTTTTGTTTATGTTTTCAAATAATTGTTGATGAATGAGTTGTTCTATTTTTTGAAAATTAGAGTGATGAAATTTTTGTTTTTGTTTTTGCAAATTGCAATATGAATAACTTTTGTTTTTGTTTATGCAAATTGCAATACTCTGTAAAATTAATTGGAGTTCATTAAGAATGAACGATGTCTATTATTAATAACAGGGAACATGGAAACAGTTCCTATTTTTGTTCATCATGATGGTGAATGGAATGAAACAATGGAGTATGTGAATTTCAATGTCTTTGGAATTACTTTAGCTACAAATAGTTCTTATCCTGAGTTGATTGCAAAGATAGGAGACAGGATTGGAATAGAAAGACAATCAACTGCACTGATAATTCAATACAAAGTCAGAGAGAATTATCCACCATTGATGATACAAGATAACTCAGCACTGTTGTTTTACCTACACCTTAAGAAACAAGAGATGGATGTCACCAAATTCCCTCTATGTATCAGCCTTGCTGATGTACATGAAGAAACAACTTGCAACATATTTCTTGGGCGATATCAACAACAAGAAACAAGTAGCATGCAAGTAGTGACAATGTCTGAAGATAGTTCAACAATTAGTGAAGAGTTGGACATTAATGGTTTTATATTAGCTTGGGCAAATAAAACCAGTAAAGAACTACTGGAACAAAAATGTGTTGAGCTAGCATCAACAAATTGCATTAAAAGTGATGTAGATCCTGAAGAAGGACTGATTTACATCAACAGGGATGAGTTCAGGAAAGCACTTAAGATGTATGCTATCAAAAATCACTTCCAGTACAAGGCACATAAGACAAATAAAAAGTATTTTTCTGCAAAATGCTTGCATGAAAAGTGCAGTTGGGAGATAAGATCAAAAGAAACTGGAACCTTGGGAAGGTTCATTGTCGTGAAGTTTATAAAAACACATTCTTGTAGATTGGATGTCAGATTAACAGATCAAAGACATGCGACATCCAGTTTGGTAGCAGACTGTATTAAGTCTAAATTGGTGGATCCAAAAACGTCATATAATGCAATGGATGTACAGAGAGATCTGTTAGAGCAGTATGGCATTGAAATAAGCTACTTAAAAGCGTGGAGAGCAAAAGAAAAGGCACTAATTAAGCTAAGAGGAAAACCAGAAGAGTCCTACAGGTTTCTGCAACAATTCATGAGTATTGTTAAACAAACAAATCCTGGATCTTTTCTGCAAATCAAACTTAATGAAGACAATACTTTTTTATATGCATTCATGGCAATCAAAGCATCAATACATGGCTGGAAATTCTGCAGACCGATCATAGTAGTTGATGGCACATTCCTGACCGGGAG